AGACACAAGTCCATTGTCTGAGGCCATGAGAATATCATTAGTGACTTTTACTAGTGCTGTTTCTGTGCTATGATGAGCTCTAAACCCTGACTGAAACTCTTCAAACAGATTATTTCTTTGTAGATGATCATGTAACTGACCTGCAACTATTTTCTCTTGAATTCACACAATAATGAATTAAAAAATAAATTTAAAACATAATAAAACAACGAGTTAAACTGATAAAATCAATACCAATAAATTCAGATTCAGATATTCTTTATTCTCGTTCACGAAATTATGTTCACAGGGTCCCAGTTACATCCAACAATAAAATGTAAAATAAAAACAGTAATAAGATCAAAGATATGAACTAAGAAAAACATCAACTAAATATACACTAAGCACTCATAACATAAAAATATTACGTCGAACAGCAGCAACATGAAACAGATCAGCAGCAACATGATGTGATTTTTCACAGTGATTATTCTGGTTAGAGATTCATGAGTCTAACAGCCTCAGGGTAGAAGCTGTTCCTCAGTCTAGTGGTTCTACACTTAAGCCCCCAGTATATTCCCGCATACGTCCGTTCACGTGTACGTATGCATATACTGTACGCACAGGGTTCAGACTTCATACTCGAGCGTCCACCCTGAGCAGCTGCAGAGCAGCTTCACAGACGAGGAGCGTTTACCTTCGGGACAAATTGAGGTCGCCGATTGGTCATTTGCTGACACGCCTACTGGATTGATTGGCAGGTCGGGGGGGGGGGGGGTGCGAGCGCATGCACCTCAGCCGCAGCGGTGTTCTGTGTTTATATGTTGTTAATAAAAAGATCTAAAAAAAATTAAAAGACAAAAAACGGAGCACTGGCCCTGCAGCCCACACATCAGACCAGCCCACCAGTAAGTCTCCAGACCTGCAGCCACGCTGAACCTGAATTTAATTCGCTCATGACAAATTCCTTCATTTCTCACCATTTCAGTCATGGAATCAACGGAGGAGGAAGAGATCTCTGCCTCTTGGCAAAAAATAAATAAAAATAAAAGGCCAGATCAGGGATGAAGAAGAGGAATTTAATACATTTGTGTCTCATACAAAACAGTCCGTCACTGGGCAGTTTATTGTACGACACCACGTACGCGGTCGTAAAAATTGATCTTTGCACGGACATACCCTGGGGGGTATGCTCTTACCTCCGCATATGGATGTATGCGGGAGTATACTGGGGGCTTTAATGCTCTTCAACCTCCTTCCTGAGGGGAGCGGGACAAAAAGTGTGTGTGCTGGGTGAGTGGGGTCCTTCATGATGCAGGTGGGAACTGTCTCCAGGGTAAGTGAGGAGTTAAAGATGTCTGCCAGCACCTCACAGAGCTGATCGGCACATTCCTTCAACACTTTTCCGGGGATGTTGTCTGGGCCAGTTGCTTTGTGTGGATTAATCCTTGTGAAGGTACTCCTTACTTCTGCTGAGGTCACGCTGAGATGCTCTTCATCCGGTGGTGAGGTGAGTCTGGTGCTGGGTGGTCTGTTCGGGTCTTCAAAGCATGCATAGAACATAGAACTTGTTGAGGGCATCAGGCAGAGATGGGTCTTTGGGGCATTGTTCACTCCTTCCTTTATAATCTGTTATGCACTTAATGCCCCTCCACATGCTCCGAAGGTCTTGTGAGGTGAATTGACCCTCGATCCTCTGTGCATATGCGGCCTTGGCCCTCTTAATACCAGCAACCAGCTCTTTCCTTGTCCTACTCAGCTCCTCTGAGCTTCCAGACCTGAAGGCAGTGTTCCTGGCTTCCAGCAGGGTGCGCACCTCTGCATTTAGTCAAGGTTTTCTGTTTGGGTTAGTCTCAGTTGGGTTGAAGGTCAATGACTAGAGATAAGTTTTCAGAGCGGTTTTAAATGTGAATATATTATAAACTATGTCATTTATTTTCTTCTTTACAAGAACCTGGTCTTTTATTTTGTCTTCAATTGTAAAAGTATTAATAAATGTGAATTATCACAAGATATTTTTAGTTTTATCATGTCACCCCCACTGGCCTCCACCAAACTAAACTGGTCCACGAGCCACCAGTTGATCCCAGTTGGTGCAGATTTTGCGGCTCTGGACACGTTTAATGAGACAGACGTGTCTCTGTGGATCGTAAAGGTTGCAGACTCATCGAAGAGCAGAATGTATCGTGTGTGGTTAGTTCCACAGATTCTTCAGTTTCTTTGTTTGCTTTGGAAAAAGCCGACATCATAACTTGATCCTTTTATTGAGGTTGATTTTTATCTCTCTGACACCAAGAAAACATTTCGAACTAATACGTTTGTTGACTTGTGTTCAGTAAAACATGGGAGCTGTGGTGATGTAAGTGTTGGTACCGTTAGAACACGGTACCGACCCGTCTTCTTGAGCGGTATTATGTTTGCAACAACAGAACTCCCTGTGCATCTTCACTTTTAACTGCACTGCTTGTGCCAGCGCTCCGTGAGCTAGAAGTTCAGATACTGACGCAGCTGCACTGTGTTTGTAGAGTGAAACATCTGGAGGAGGAGAACAGCAGCATGTCTCTGAACATGAACCGACTCAAGTCACAGACAGAAAGACTGGATGAGGTGACACGTCTTTTCTTCTTGCTCTTTGTTTGACTGTGTGGAACACCTTTAACTGTGGCTTCATTGTTTTCTTGTCTTAAAATGACCTCTGTCAAACCCTAACCCCCCCCCCCCCCACACACACACACACACACACACACACACATCTGTTTTATATAAATCTATGAAGGAGCTTCCAGCTGTTTGTTTCTGTCCATCCTCAGGAGAAACAAAAGATGACAGACAAGCTGGAAGACACAAGTCTGAGGCTGAAGGATGAGATGGACCTCTACAAGAAGATGATGGAAAAACTCAAACAGAGCAGGCAACAGTACCAGAAGGAGAAGGACGCCATGCAGGAGGTGGGAGGGGTCAAAGTTCAGCTAAATGTCACGCATGGTTTCTGCTCAAACATTTAACACCCACACGACGTCCTGAGCAGTTGGTTGTGTGCAGCTGATCGAGGACCTGCGCCGAGAGTTGGAGCACCTGCAGCTCTACAAGCTGGAGGCGGAGAAGCCTGGCCGCAGCCGCAGCGCCTCCTCTGGGCTTGCAGACTTCAGCAGCAGAACCAGAGAGGTGGAGCTCGAGCACGAGGTCAAGAGGCTCAAACAGGTACGGAAAATACCCCAGGGTCCATGAGATCTTCTCGTCTTTGCCAGATGTATAGAAATCTGTTGAAAGAGCAGCGTGTGTTTGTCTTCACCTCCTTCACTCACATGCTCTGAAGCACAAGGCTGTGAAAACAAGTGTCATCACTCATCAGCTGATTCTTCAGCAGATTCCACCTGTGTGTCTTTTCATCCAAGCTGCTGAAGGCCTCGGAGGTTCTTACAGACCATTAGTGGTCCAACACTATCATGAAGACCAAGGGCCACACCAGACAGCTCAGGGATAAAGTTGTTGAGAAGTTTAAAGCCAGACTGACTTATTAGATGCCTCCACGCTATGAACATCTCAGAGCTCTGTTCAGCCCATCATCTGGAAATGGAAAGAGGATCAGCTACCAAGGCATGGACCTCCACCTCAAATGATCTGAGGAGCCCCGCAGTGACTTTGGAGGAACTGCAGAGATCCACAGCTCAGGTGGGACAATCTGTGGCTGAGAAGAAAGTGACTGTCAGCAGAAGTCCTGTTTGCAGTTTGACACCAGCCGGGCAGGAACCAGCTGCTCTGACCAGACCACACTGAACACCACACAGGTGGACCACTAACACCACACCTCATCCTGAGGGCACCACACACACCTTGAAGCATGGTGGCGCTAGCATCATGCTGTGGGCATGCGTTTTGTCAACTGGGACAGGAAGCTGGTGGACTTGATGAGAAGATATAGCAAAGAAAACCAGTACCAGTCTAACATGTCCTGTCATGTCCAGACATGTCCTGCTGTCCTCAGACATGTCCTGCTGTCATCAGACATGTTCTGCTGTCCTCAGACATGTCCTGCTGTC